GAGAGGAGAGAGAGAGAGAGAGAGAGAAGAAGAGAGAGAGAGAGAGAGAGCGAGCGAGAAGAAAGAGAGAGAGCATGCAGTGAGCAGCAGCACTCGACGTTTCTGCGACCTGCTGCCGAGGAAGCTCGCAGCTTACAGACGACAGCGCTGTTCGCGCCGACCTTGCAGTCCGAAGTATCCGTGCAGGTTCGCTCCCTGCGCACGCCGATCAACACACCACCATCCTAGAAACAGAGAGGCAGGAGCGATACGCGCCACCTACGCGAGAATCGCAGCCGCCGACAGGAGGTCATGGGCGGTCGTCGATCACGGCCGCTGCCTCGCATTTGGGGTGCCAGACAATATTTTCGAAAATAGCGACCTTGAAATTGACTCGCTGTTGCGAAATCTTACGCGACCGGGTATTTTCCAACATGTGAATTCCCGATTTCACCGCTTCTCTTAATTTACCTATAATCACCTTCATAACCCTATAATAGCTTGTCTTAAAAGGTTAGCTCGGTTAATTTCTCAACTTAATTACTTAAACTCCTTACATCAACAGAGAGATGGACCCGAATGCCGACCATCGAATCCCGGCGTAATGTCTAGGCCTACGTGCATTCCTCTAGAACCTTGCCCGAAGGGACACAATACTCGCCTCTACCCTCATAATTCCTATCGACAAGTAAGATTCAGATCTCCAGTGCGAATCGGGGGGAGGCACTTACAAACCACTAGGAACGTGGAGGCCCACGGCGAGGGGGGGGGGGGGGGGGGCGGGGGGGGGGGGGGGGGGGGGGGGGGGGGGGGGGGGCGGGCCGGGGCCCGGGGGCGGGGGGAGGGGGCGGGGGGCGGGGGGGCGGGGCGGGGGGGGGGGGGGGGGGGGAGTCGGCGTGCTAAAAGAAGAACACGCTACAGATGATCGGGAACGATGACTCGAGCCGACAGCCACGAAGAAGCCGCAGCTCGGCTCCAGCGTGTACATTAGACCGTGCCTTCTTGTTACTTGAACAGACACCGGCACCAAGCTCTTTATTGCCCATGTATGTATTCACAACATACAAATACACTTGTGAAACACGCGTCTTTAACATATATACTCTTAACTACAAGTACTTAAACTAAAGTACTTTCAGGATCGAGTCTGTACTGATAATAACTACTTTAATGATACAGGATTCGGTGTCGAGGCATGACTGTCATTCCCAACATCGTAGTCTCTGAGATACAGTCAACTCACTACCAGAGGCTCATAACCTGCGTAGGGAAGAACTACACGACTCATAAATATAAACAAAGGACGCAACTACACTATATAACTATACACTAGCAACGGTAGCAAACTACAGACCAATACCAAACTAGTGGAGCTATGAGAACTTATAATAAGCAACTACAACCAATAACTATGACTATAAACTATAGTGACAATCATAACTATACACTGTGACAAGATACAGGAGAAGAGTAAGCTTGACTGTCTCTATGAGATCATGATGGACGGGCAGATCGATCTACTGCGCACTTGCTCGATCGTAGTTCCACAAGCTTATCACTCAATGCAAAGCTTGAAGTAGCCAATCGGCTTCTAAATCTTAGACATCAACAACAATCAAACTACACACTAACAACTAGCCATTCCACAGAATACAACTATGACTACAGACACAACAACAACCACAACTACAACAGAAACTTACAATTACCAAGACAAGTATGATACAACTCAACAACACCAGCAAGCTACAACACAACCACAACTAATAACTATAGCTATTTTACTATTAACATTAGAAATTGTGTATTATATACTATATATATATAATATAATCATAAGTATATACATATAATAACCTTTATATCCTATATACTCCGCTATATAATATATCAAAAGTAACCAATAATGCAATCCCTATTACTACTCCTGCAATATATTAAACTATATATTCACACTAAAACTAATAATTGTACCTAGCCGAGTCTCTAGTGACCATTTCCAGAACCCCAACTTCGTGGCATAAAAAGTTTTAATTCTGCTCCCGCATTTTACACAAACTGATTGTTATGAAGACTGCCAGACCACCTTGCACCAAGTACTCCGGCATACGCACACGCAAAAAACAGCACGCACACAACATGCATATCCCAGCCTATAGGTAAGTGTTGCCACTGTCACATGCGCATACGAGGTGTAGGTACTATGACGTGGATGTTGCATATGCTGACTTCACACACCATTATGAGGTGCGCACAACCCTTCTGGCTATAATACTGGCTCGATGCAACCACACTATAGATGCATGCAACAACCAATCTATATGTTACTGGCTTAATGTTCCATAAATATGTGTGTGAAAAGCGCCATGTATGTTGTAGCACAAAATGTGCTATTTTTCATACGCCTCACGTAAAAGTAAAAGCGTAAAAGTTGGCTTAATTGTAGCCTGGTAAATCCAAAAACACAACCCTGGTGGATACCTGGGGCGTTTTACAATCAACAAAAACTTTTTTTTTCACAATTATGTTCTTTTTAATGAGCACTTCTCAGTCATTAATGAGCAAATGCCAAACCAGATGGCAGCACCTCCTATTCAATACTTTCATACCATTTCAAATCACCATACATCTAAACATCAATGTGTGAAACTCAGGCATAAATGCTGATTTTCAAGGTTCAACTTTTACTCGGTAATACATAAATTTGCCCCCAATTACAGAGGTTACGTTCTTGGAAAATGGAGCGATCAGTGAACGGTTAATCAGATGGGAACACGGAAACACGGGGTAGGGAAACACGGCTGGGATGATAGGTGGTAAAAATACATTTTACTTCTTTGTATACCGAGAAATAATAGTAACCGTCACACACATAACCATAAATTTACAGCATTTGCTAGTGTTCTTTATAATCACTCGGCTCCAACCACGGAGCATACACCCTTGCATGTGCGTTGCTTTGTTGTCCAAAACAGGCCTTGTCTAGTAAATCTATTTGCTATTGTGTAGGTGATGATGCAAGCTGTAACTGGCGAGATCCAATCAGCCACTTCTACCACACGTTTCGGCTGATGCAAAGCGGGATAAAGTGCCTCATTCATGGGCATAAGAATGGCTACCACAGTGTGACTCAAACCCCAGACCTTTCAGCCCAAAGCCGACACTACACCAAGCCAATCGGTAGAACCGACAAGCGAACATAAACATCAATAACACCTGCGATAAGCGCATCGGTTTTGGAAACAAATCAGAAAACCCCCCGCACTTATAGTCCCAACTTTCAAAATTTTCGATTTTCCACTTTATAACTGGGGTTAATAATGACAAATTCATTCCTTTATTATATCTGTTATTATTCACCCCTGATAACCTATAGTAAAATCCACAGAAGTCATACCCAGTCCCGCTCAAAATCCACCGTTCACAGACAGGAGAGGGGTACGTGCGGGTCGATATTTCCAACACCAAAGTTCTGCATGCATGCAAATACAACGCACACACAGTCACACACAAACCGCACCATACCTCGCCTATCTTAGGAGAGTGAGGGCCACTACTGCCTTAGAATTCACTACTTAACTTAGGATGGCAGAACGGGGACCACTATATTTCCTTGGTATTCACTATTTACCTACATAGTCCCCGACTGGATGGAAAAGTGAGGGCCGCCATTTTCCTTCACAACTTAGATTGGGAGGGCAGAGAGTGAGAGCCACTACTGATTGAGAATGCACTACTTCGTGCAGATCGATTGTTGGGTATTGGTAATTCAGGATACACTAGCTTTAAGAGACAACCATCAGCGCCACCTACGTTAAGCTATGTAAACTGGGGAGAATAAAGAACATGGCCGTCACTTGTTGACACGTTTGTTTGTGTCCGTTTTTGAAGCATATACCATTTGTTGGTTGAACCCACTACATGTGCAGACAAATACACTACATCAATGTCCACCACTTCCCTGAAATTCACTACTTATAGCTTGGGAGGACGGAGCAAGGAGCTGCCATATCCGACACCACCCCCACACCCGCACACGCCCACACACACGCACTCACACCTACCTTGCTCGCCTCGTACACCCAGTGGCTCTTGCCGTCGTCGTCGACGTAGTTCCACCAGCGCAGGCCGGCGAGCAGACGACCGCTGACGTTCTTCACCGTCCAGAAGTCGAGCGCGAGGAGCACGACGATGACGACGAAGCTGAGAACGAAGCTGTTGCTGAACCAGCCGCAGAAGAGGTAGGCGACGATCGCGGCCGTGCGAAACGCGAGCTGGAAGAACGAGACGAGCGGGTGCCTGCGCGGGAGCGAGAGGGAGAGATGTGGGAGAGAGAGGGGAGAGAGAGAGAGGAGAGAGAGAGAGAGAATTAAAGATGGGAGAGTCGAAATTGAGTAGAAGAGAGAGAGAAAGAGAGAGAGAGAGAAGGGGAGGAAAAGAGCGGTGTCACCAATTAATATCGAAACAAAACATTTGATTGCAGTCTAGCTAGAGTACACCTATCATATTGTTATACATACTCAAAGAAACAAAATTTGAAAATGCGACGTAGTAGCAATTATAATAGTCTTTAAATATCTTACTACCGAGCACAAGTGATTTAATACAGCTTAAATTATTTATTGATTGCCTTACTTGAATTTACGTCTGGATACCGGGTCATCCTCAGCGCCGAATTCTAGAGCCACGTCTTCAGTGTCATCCAACAGACCTTGCTAAAATATACGACAAATGCAGTCAACCACCACATTCCACTCGGAACTTCCACGTTCCACTTCTCTGGTATCCTGTCTCTCTGGATTCGAGCCATGGAAGAACTTAGCAGTATTAAATAAACACTATATAGATTATAGGTTAGCTCGACCAAACTGCAAGCCTAACGTTAACACGCGTTGTCCGTCGATATATTGTTTATAATGTAAATTATATGGCTGTTTCGTAGAGTAAACATACAGACTTACAAGTTACAGTCTAAGCGAAGGATCGCAAAGCAATTACTGAATTAGGAATTCGATTTGTTTACATTATTTAGACTGTGACAACGTAATAGAAAAGTTGGCATACACGCACATACGAGACACGCTGACATAAGCTACATAACATAATAATTCGTGTCATCGTTAGGTTTATTTAATAACATCACCGCTTGATTCTCTTACTCTGTCTCTGGTATTTGTTGCCATGTTGCCGACGTGGTACAGATGCCGTCTGTTGTGAAAGCGGAGAACTATTTTATCAATCGGGGGAGCGAGCCAATCAGAAAAGCGGACACTTATGACGACACTGACGATGGCTACGGAAAAGTTAATTTATTTTTACTCTTCTTTTGGTTGCATACGGTTTAACCAAGTATACTATTAAAGTTTTGATCAATGTCATAATTGAATGGTATATTTGCGGATATGTGAATTCATTTACTCGTCACTTGATTTTTGAAAAGATGATTTGTCATTAATTTTTCGCACCCCAACTTGCTGTCACGTACGTGTTGCATTTTCCTTCTTCATTTTTTTAGTATTTTGTGAAAAACTACCATACCCTTTGAATAAATAAAAATAATCTCCCATATCAAGAGAAAAACTGTGTTCATTTCGAATATTTATTTTGCATTACATCCTTATATTTACACGACAAAATATACACAGTAACGCGGCGAGTGGTGGATTGTGTGATAACAACAGTTAAGTAGTAGCTAGCTTAGCACGTAAATATGGAAAACAAATTCTACATAGGCAATATTATAGATGAATCTATACACATCAGGTGAACAGGGATAGCAGCCATGCACCCCTTTATTAATTATTAATCTCCATCATCACATATCTTACCCTTGATCCTCTGATGTTTGCCTCTTAACTTTTGTCGATCTACATCCCAAATATGAAGAGCATACACGAAGCTGTTACGAACTGCTATTTTTGATGGACGGAGCACACATAACATAGGTATATATATATATATATATA